GAGGCTACCAACCAACCCGCAAAAGAAGTTGAATCGACCAACCAATCCGGCAAGGAGGTTGTGGTGCTAGAAGATCTTCCTGCCAACCCGACAAAATGAAGGGCCGGATTGTCGGTTGGATTTGTAACTTGTTGGGGTCTTTTTATCTTGAATATTGCCGGTTTTATCCCGGTTTTATTTATCTCCGGATTTGTCCCAAGTTTTAGTAATTCCTAAGTTGCTCAGATTCAAATCCGATTTATTTAGATATACTTCACCCTCGTACTTGATGAGTGATATACCGAGGTTGCATTATTTTTCAATACTTATTGGGTGAAATCTTCATCCCAATTTGTTTTTGTAAACTCGTGCATCATACGAGTTTTTAATTCATGACCTGGTCGAGGTCAAAGCATCGTACGGATTCTGCTTTATGTCAATTCGATGACGCATGTTTGTTTAACTTACTCATTCTGGTAAGCTTGCATATGTAATGGACCTCTTCTTTTGACTTAGCCATTTAATTGAATTTGAATTTCATAACTCAATTTATCTAAGGTTAAAACAATAATGCCATCTGCCCCTTTTTGGTATCATGACCAAAATAGTGACATTTTGACTTGATCAGAGTCACTATGGAAAATTGTATTTGTACCTCGGATTTGATATTGATATATCAAAGATAGACAAGGATAAATCTTTTAAAAAAAAAAATTCCTCATTTATTGATATCAAATTGCGAATTACATGAATTTGTTTCAAAATTCCTTGGTCTCACTTTCTTATTATACTTTGCTGCGGTCTGTTGTTTGGCCATCATATTCCGGCAGTGAGCTGTGACCCTAGCTTCATCCACAAGGTCTAATTCTTCAATAAGCATTCTACTATTCTGTTGCTCACCTTGTTCAAGACTATTCAGTCTTCTCCATGAGGGTTCTCCAATCTCTACCGAAATCAAGGCTTCACATCCATACGTTAGTCTGTAAGGGGTTTCTCCAGTTGCAGTTTGGGTGCTGGTTCTATAACCCCTCAAGACAAAGTATAGCTGGTGAACCCAGCTTTCTTTTGCAGCAAACATTCATTTTTTGAGACCTTCCACAATCACTTTGTTGGCCGCTTCGGCTTGCCCATTCGATTGTGGGTGTTCCACAGATGCGAAACGATGTGTGACGTGTAGGTCTTTCATTAGCTGCTGGAATTTTTTATCAGAAAACTGCATTCCGTTATCAGTAACCACCTCAGCTGGGATTCCGAATCTCGAAACAATATTTCGTTCAAAGAACCTTTGCACTCTAGCCGAGGTGATTGTGGTGACTGGTTCTGCTTCTATCCACTTTGTGAAGTAATCCACAGCCACGATCAACCACTTGAGTTGCCCTTCAACAGCTTTAAAAGGTCCTAGCAAATCCATTCCCCATTTGAAGAAGGGCCAAGGGGCCGAGATACATTCCAGTTCTTCCGGTGGTGAAAGGATTAACTTGCCATGCTTCTGACAGTTATCACATTTCTTGACATGTTCTTTAGAATCTGCCCCCATCGTCGGCCAGTAATAACCAGCTCTGAGGGCCTTTCTGGCCAAGGCTTTGCCATCCATGTGATGCCCGTTTATTCCTTCATGGATCTCGGCAAGGACGTACTCTGCTCCTTCCGAGTTCAAGCATTTTAGCATGGGGTTATGCAAACCCTTTCTGAATAGCTGGTCATTCACGATCGCATATTGTGTCGCATCTCGGACCAGCTTCCTAGCTTCCAGGCGATCCTCTGGCAGTATCCCTTTCTCTAGATAATCGACCAGAGGCTTCCTCCAGTCGTTTACAGAGGTTACTACCATCACACAACTCGGCGTTGTTATACTTTGCTGAACCACGGTTCTGTGATTACCCGAATTTTTGGTACTGGCTAACTTCGACAAGATGTCAGCTCGGCTATTCTCCCCTCGTGGGATGTGAGCAACCCGAACATCATCAAAGTCGGCCATAATTTCCTGAACTCGACTTAGGTACTTCATCAGTAGAGGACCTTTGACTTGGTACTTTCCTTCTATCTGCGAGGTTACCAGCTGTGAGTCGCTAAACATTTGCACTTTCCTAGCTCCGTGTTCTTTAGCCTGGATCAAACCAGCTATTAGAGCTTCGTATTCAGCTTGATTATTTGAAGTTGGAATCCCAAGTTCAGAGAATGCTCTATGGTTACTCCTTCGGGCTTTCTAATATGATTCCAGCCCCACTTCCTTTATTGTTGGAAGATCCATCTACGTAGACCTTCCATGCATCCCCGTGTTCCTCGTGTTCCGAGTTCTGTGGTGTCAATTCCATTATGAAGTCAGCTAAGGCTTGTGCTTTGATTGCTTTTCGGCTTTCATACGTTATGTCATATTCACTGAGTTCTATTGCCCAGTTAGTCATTCTTCCTGCCAGGTCCGGTTTGTGCAACACCTGCCGAATAGGCTGGTTAGTCCTGACGATTATTTGATGGCCTTGGAAATACGGTCGCAACCTTCTAGCCGTGACCAGCAAAGCAAAAGCCACCTTCTCTAGCTTTTGATACCTGACCTCTGCACCTTGTAAGGCTCTACTGGTAAAGTAAATTGGCTCCTGGCCTTCGTTAGTTTCCTTGATCAGTACAACGCTTATTGCTTCCTCCCCTACTGCCAAATACAGAATTAGAACATCTCCTGGGTTTGGCTTTGAGAGGATCGGTGGAGTTGATAAACATTTCTTTATCTTCTCAAACACGGCTTCACATGTCGGGTTCCATCCGTCAATTGCTTCTTTCTTTAAAAGTTTAAAGAATGGGAGGGTATTTTCAGCCGATTTTGGAAGAAACCGGGTTAGCGCAGCTAATCGTCCGGTCAGCTGCTGGACCTCCTTTTTGCTTTGGGGTGCTTTCATGTGAAGCACAGCCTTGCATTTATCCGGGTTCGCCTCAATTCCTCTGTGGGTTAGCATGAAACTCATAAATTTTCCAGCTGCTACCCCGAACGCGCACTTTACCGGGTTGAGGCGGATGCGATACTTCCTGAGCTTTTGAAACGTTTGCTCAAGATCCTGAACATGATTCATCATATCAAATGACTTCACGATCATATCATCTATGTATACTTCTACATTTTTGCCCAGCTGATCTTCGAAGACTTTATTCATCATCCTCTGGTAAGTTGCCCCTGAGTTTTTAAGTCCAAATGGCATCACATTGTAGCAATAGTTGGCCTTTTCAGCAATAAAGGCCGTTTTTTCTTGATCCGCCGGGTACATTGGGATCTGGTTGTATCCTAAATAGGCATCCATGAAAGACAACAAACGAAATCCAGCCGAGTTATCTACCAGTTGATCTATGTTAGGCATAGGATAAGCATCCTTTGGGCAAACTTTGTTTAAATCTGTGTAATCAGTACAGATTCTCCATTTTCCATTTGGTTTTTTCACCATCACCACATTGGCTAGCCATGTCGTGTACTGTATCTCCCGAATGAACCCGACATCTAAGAGTTCTTTAACGTGTTCTTGTAGAATTTGTTTCCTTTCAGGTCCCAGTTTTCTTTTCTTCTGAGAAACTGGCTTGGACCCCGGATAAGCTACCAATTTGTGACAACAGAATGCGGGGTCGATGCCAGGGATCTCTGACGACTTCCATGCAAATACATCCGTGTTGCTTATAAGAAAGTCAGCCAAAATTTGCTTAATCTGGGGGTCTATGGCCTTACCAATGCGGGTAAATCGACCAGCTCTTTCCCCAGCGTGAGATCCTCAAGCTCTCCATCAGTTTCGGGTCTCGGCATTATTTCTTCTCTCATGTCGAGTTCAACCATGTTGACCGGCTTCTTAGATTGCTGAGGAGTTAGATTCCTACCGATTTTATCCCCCGAGTGAATTCAGGGTGGGACGAACGTCCCCCTTCATTTTCTTTGATAGTATCAAAGTAGCAGCCCCTGGATTCCTTCTGATCTCCACAAACAGTGATTATTTCATTCTTATTGCTCACCATTTTTATCTTCTGGTGTTTTGTAGAAACCAACATGTCCTACTGATATATGGTCGGTCTTCCCAGGATTATATTATATTCTGAAGGGAAGTCGGCCACTATGAACCTATCCCGTTCTGATCTGAACGTTTCTTTTGCTCCCAAGGTTAATCTGAGATCAATGTAGCCTTTAGGAGGCGTATGCTCTCCATTAAAGGCTACCAACGTCGTTTTGCAAGGTTTGAGGTCCTCTTCATCCAGGTTCTTCTTTTTAAAAGCATCCCAGAGTATGATGTCGGCACAACTCCCTGCATCCACGAAAATCTTCCAAACCCGGCAGTTCACTAGGGTCCTGCAATGACCAGTCCGTCAACATGACCCGGCAACACGCCGCACATGTCCTCTTTGGTAAAGTATAAAAGAGGAGGATCTTGCTTGGTTGGGTCTTCTTTGAACTTGGTACGATCTCGAATAGAGAGCACCTCTTTCAGGTATTTTCTTCTAGCACTTACAGTATTTCCTCCTCCCCCCAAGGCTCCACTAATTACATTACAATCAAACTCCACTTCTGGGAATTCGTCATAGTTGGAATCATTTTTCTGATTCCTATCCTGTCTGTTCTTCTTTTCAGGAACGAGACTTTTGCTTCGATTCCTGTTTCCCAACTTCCTTTTGTTGTTTCTGGAACCTTGGGTTTTTATCACGTATTAACGTAATCTACCATCTCTTACAAACTTCTCCACAGCATCTCGGAGATCCCAGCACTGATTAGTTGTGTGACCTGGCCCATCATGAAAAACGCAATATTTGGACTTATCTAACCCTCCTCTGTCAAATATGGGACAAGGTCTCTCCACCTTTTTCATCTCCGTCGTGGCTACTTCTCTCCAGATTTGAGAATGCGACGCATTCAAAGGTGTATACTTGTCATACCTATCAATGCGGTCCCTCATGTCCGGGATTCGTTGGCGTTGATCTTTCTTCTTGTGTTCAACTCGTTCCTTTCCCTTCGCCGGGGGGGGGGGGGGGGGGCTCCTCCTTCTCGGGCTTGCTCTTTTGCCTTCATCAGGTTGCGCATTTGCAATCTCCATTTTTTCTAGTTCGAGATATTTCTTCGAACGAGTTCTAAATTCCTCCAACGTCCTTACTGGGTCCTTATAGACCGACTTGGCGAGTCTGGATGCACCATCCAGACCTGCCACAATGAGGTGGACGTGGACATTCTCTTGCAACCCTGGGACCTGCAGTGCAGCGTCCTTGAACCGGTTAAGGTATTTTTGGAGGGTTTCTCCAGGTTGCTGTCGTATCTTTCCAAGAGCGAACTCGGACTTTGGATGCTTCTTGTTGGTTGCAAAGTTCAATAGGAACTTCTGTCTGAATTCCTCAAAGGATCCGATGGAATTTGCAGGCAGGGTTGAGAACCACGCCTGTGCTGCCCCAGTTAGTGTTATAGCAAATATTCGGGATATGAGAGGTTCATCAATTCCCCGAATGTACATGTCCGTGTCAAAGGCATCTATGTGCACCTGCGGATCCTGGCTCCCATCATATTTCGGCAGGCGTGCCGAGTCAAAGTCCTCTGGGAAGACAACGTTTAATATTTCAGTAGTGAATGGGCTGTTATTGTTCTGCCCCCCGCTGTACTTCTTCCTATACCCGCCAGGTTCTACTCGCCCTCAGATGTTTTGAGGATCCTGATGAAACTGAGCTCTAACCCGGTCCTCTTGACCGTCAGCATGTGCCTGATGGTTTTGTGCATTTTGGCCATCAGCGACCTGGTTTCCCTGGTTCACCAGGTTATCAGAGTTTTCTGCATGAGGAACTTGGTTTGACTGAACCGAGTTCCTAGGTCCTTCTCGACCATTGGCAAGTTGGCCTTCGACATTGGCTATTCCTGGTGCAGTCCGCCGCGTTAATCGCCGCTCCAGGTCTTGCATCCCTATATTATTTTCCTCCCGAATAGCCCTGAAATCTTGTTGCCGTTGCAAGTTAGTACGGGTTTCCAGCGCTGCCATTCGCTCCATGATTGCGGCCAACACGACCAATCGAGTATCCGGATCAGCCGATTGAGCAATGCGCACAGCCAGGTCGCCAGGATGCTGGGCAGGGTTGCTTCTCATTGGAGCTACGTTCGCCGCAGCCCCCCATCTCGACGCACTGGCGTCGAAGCGGTGTCTGAAACATCGTCTTCGACCTGGACGTGGTCGTAATCCACGTTGTTTCCGATCTGGTTGTGAGGCTGATTTATCTCCTCAATGACTGGATCCAACGATTGATTCTGGTTTGGGGGTGGCTGCTGGCTACTGCTCCTCGTCTGGATTGCCATCCTTTGTCAGATTCGGTGGGAACTTCAGATTCAAAGAAGAAAATTCCCACAGACGACGCAAATGTTCTGTCCTTGAGACAGAGATGTCTAGCCCAATTAAGCTAGTACGTTAATGTTGGATCTGGTGCCCTCTCCAAGGTATCTATGAAGGAGATACCCTTGAGTCAAGCAGATTACTGTGCACAGAATACTATAACGGCGTTAGCCAAATGGGTGTGTGTGTGCGCACAGTGACAGCATAACAATAAGAGATAATGTGTGTACCTTTAGGGTTTACCTTTGTATTTATAGAGGTTACCTGTAGGTAGTGTGGATGAGCCTTTGGTTCCTACGGTGAGGGTCCAGGCCTGATAGCTATGCTATCGCATTAGGATTAGTATCCTTGATAAATATCTATCCTTTATTAGGATCAATCCATATCTTGGATTGCCCCTTGTTGGGCTTGCTACTTAATGGGCCCATTATACGGGTCCATAACAACATATTATATCACTTCGGTTACTTCCTTTGACTGTCTCTATGTTTAGATAAATTTCTTAACAAAATAGGCATACTTTAGACCCGTTTGAGAAAGCAATCTCGATGTTGGTTCCATTGAAAATAACATCGGGTTAAAGCTAATCAATTTGCAAACACAATTTAGCTAAAAAGTACCTTGGCAATGAGTATAAAATACTCTGAATCCTTTGATACTCTGACAGCAACTACCACAAATAGCTATGATAGCAACTCCCACAAAAATCAATGAACGATGGCAGCGAACAACAATAACAAAGGATAAAAATAAAATCCAGTAGAAATTAGTGAATGAAGTGTGCATACAAAAAAGAGAATAATAGAAAGAATAGGAGAAAAAAAAAAGATGGGGAAATACGTAAGAAAAGTAAAAACCCTAAACCAAAAGTAAAATTCTTTTGTATCGATTACTTCGATAAATCAAAACCGTAACAAAAAGTAAATTTTTTATTGATTAATACTAAAACCCAAATCCACTAATGAAAAACCCATATAAAGAAATTAATTGAAAGAAAAAAAAGGGAAACTCATTGAATGATGACAGTGAACAATGAAACAACACCAACAATACTATCAAATGGGAGAATATTGGGAAACCACCGATTGGAATGAGGTTAGGGTTTTTGGAGATTGAGAAAAAATAAAGGAGAATGAGAGAATATTGGGACACCACCAAACGGAGTGGGGTTAGGGTTTTCAAAGAATAGGAGAGAATAAGGGATAATGGGAGAATATTGGCACACCAACTATTGGAATATGGTTAGGGTTTTCAGATAAGTGAATAAGAGATATAGTAGGGTTTTTTTTGGAACTTATGAGTGAAACAACAAATAGCTTTTAAGATTAGGCTTTTAAGTTTATACAGCGACACTGTAGGTGTTCGCTGGGCTAGGTTCTGTATTTAGGTCTTTTTACTGTGTTTTTTATTTCCATTATCTTTCAAAAAAGATTAGGCATTTAAGTGAAAAAGGAATCAGAGGAATAGAATTTTTGGGTATACGAAAGGCGCCAGTGAATAGGCATTCCAAAAAATGAAACGCGCCAAAGAATAGGTATTTCAGAAAATGAAACAGCGTGCATCATTTATTGGACATATTTCTTTTTTATCATACTGCTATATTTTTTTATCATACTACTATATTTTTTTTTTTTTATAGACTATCATACTACTATATTATCACAATTCTGATCCTGCCTTAGTTGTTAAGTGAAACTTAGTGGATGTGAGGAACGAGTTCGATTCCTTTCATCCATTAGTTTTTAGCATATATATATATATATATATATATATATATATATATATATATATATTTTAATCAACTTTAAAATATTAACAATATTGATTATACTAATGAAAAATTAACAATTTATAAATACTAAATTTAATTTCACTTTTTATTCATTAACAAAAACAAATATAATTATAATTTAACTTTAACAAATCAACAATGTCACATCCCGGTCCCACCTTAATATAAAATTTTAGTGTAGTAAGGGTTCTTGTTTACTCAAGTATTAAATTGCTTAGTCAATTAATTAATTAATTATGTCCTATAGATTTTCAGTTGTTTATTTATTCATCTATAAGCCATGAACTTACTCACTTTAGGAAATTATGAATCTGATAAATTCTAGTAGTCTTCATCTATTTTTTTATTTCATAAGTAAGCTTAATTAAAAATAGGACAAGTTAGAGTGTTAGTCATTAAAGACACCCACAACCTTTTTTATATCTCATTTTTCCCATCATATATTTGACCAGCTCTTTGCCATCCCCTGCCTATGGTACATGCAAGGAATTGATCCCCGCTCATTTTCCCTTGGCTGAGGCTTCCCTCTCAAAAGGTGACCACCCTCTTGGATAACTCTTGTACTCTTTCTCGACTTTCAGCTCCCACTAAACATCTAAGCATTAACTCCTCTTGCATGTCTGAAACATTCCCATCCAATGTCTCTCCTTAATTTTCCTTTCCCTCGTATTATAGTGTGAAGCATCTCGAAGAAGAAGCAAAGAGTTGAGTCATCTCTATTTTTAAAGAAGCTAAGGTGGTGAGTTCTATGAAACCTTCTTCCTCCTTAGTGCTTTTCGGGTATGTGGGTGAAGTGTGGGGATTTTTCGGTTGTGGCTCTAGTGCATGCATGTAAATGAAAAACCTAACTTTGTAATCTAAAAGCCTTGCTCTACTCAACTAGTATGTATACTTGCTTGGGGATTTATTCTCGGTTGGGGTAAATCTTATTGAAAGTTGTATAAATGTTCAAGACTTGAATATGTTGTTGATTGTTTACCTTTGCCAAACCATTTTAAAACGGGGACTGTTAGAATACTAAGTCATTTCAGGCATGGTAAGTATTTGATAGATTGTCCCATAGATTCGTTGATAGGAAAAATTGGGCTACAATCTCTAAAAGTTTGTTAAAATGTGTTAAATCACCATAAATTGATTGAGTAGAAGTGTTTAATCATGGGTATCTTATAGCGTATGAATAATCCTTGTTTCTGAAATTCGCGTCATGGTGATGTTCTAGGTGGAATTGCTGACCACAAGGAAGTACCGAAGAAGAATTAATTGCTAACTAAAAGTTCAGCATCCAAGGTAAGTGTGTAGTTTCCTGTGAATGCATTGAATGGCTTGCATGACCTTGTGTGTAAAATGCCATGTATCTGTTGTAGAAATGGTTACCATGGGTTGAGTTTGGTCCCCATGGATGGATACTAGTATCATAGGCGAGTTTGGTCCCCATGGCTGAGGCTTGGGTTGAGTATGGTCCCCATGGCTGAGCATGGGTTGAGCATCCCCATGGTTCCATATTGTACGCCCTAGGTTGAGTATAGTCCCTATAGCTTTATGTTGACAAGTTGTACGCTCTGGGTTGAGTATGGTCCCTATGGCTTTATATTGATAGGCAGTGGCGGATCCAGGAAATTAATGAAGGGTGGGCACTTAATAAGCTCAGTATATATAAATTTGGATCTGGTCTGGAACGCAACTTGCGAGAAGCTGTCGGCTAACTGTGTCTGTTTTAGATCTAGATCTGGACGGATTGCAACTCAACTGGACCGATGATGGAGGAAGAAACAAATGTTCCAACTTCCAATAATGGAGATTGAGGTTTGAGAGGAGATGAATTAATGTGTAGATGCAAACGAAGGTGGAGGAGAAAAAAAAAACTCACGGAAAAATAAAATAGAAGGAGAAAAATTAAATTGGAGAACTTAAATTTTAAAAAAATGACATTTTCCTATTTTTGGATCAGATTTAAGGGTGGGCACTTGCCCCCCTTCTCAACAACTTGGATCCGCCTTTGTTGATAGGTTGTATGCTATGGGTTGAGTATGGTCCCCATGACTTTATGTTTATGTGAACATGTTGGTTGCTGTCTATGTGCATATGATGATGTGTTTTATGCCTTATTGTTATACTGGATTTTGATTTATGAAAAGGAATGTTGCCACTTATTGAGATTCTCTCTCACCCTTATTGGGCTGCTATTTTGCAGGTTTCAAGTAAATTAAGACATGATGTCAATGGACCGACATATTGGGTGTTGTGTGCTAAATGAAATAAATATGCATATATATTGTTGAATTATGAAAGAACTCTAGCTATCAGGATGATGATTTTGGAGACTATTGTAATGCAACAGTAGACGAATATGTGATATAGTGCTACATTAATAGTTGTAACCTTCATGTTGTTATCCATGTATGTAAGGATTATGTTCATGGTATGATCAGGTCTTGAATTTATGTAAAGACTAATGCACTAGAGTTATTAACACACAAGGATGTTGTTGCTTGAGGAATGTAATATGTAATATTTTTCCTGAACTAGTGTACATTATCTTTTGTCAAATTGGTCAAATGATGGAATTAAAGTTGAAAATGGAATTTTGTAGATTTGATTTTAGGTTAGATTAAAAGAGAATGTAATCTTTGGTAAAGAACCAAGTTGTCCAATTAATTTCGTACTGAAGGTATATCATCAGAAACGCAGAAGCGCATCGTACCGATGTGATGAGGAATGAAGAACACCGCTTTGATTACCTGGGGTGAAGAAGCAAGCGTGACGATTCCTCACGTTCCGTTCTCCTTCTCAAGCCTCACGATCTGCAGCAATGCACCACGAACGGTAGCAAAATCCATTATGCGTTTGATCTTCCAGGCTATGACTCAAGGGGATTAGGGAGTCGTGCGGGCAACCGTTCAGATGATGAACGTCTGCCTCTTTGGTGTGTTTCTGATGTCTGTAACCCTAGGAGGCACTAGAGAGAAAAGAGAGTTTATATACTCTGCCCAATCCAAGACTAACCCTAAGCTTCATGGGTTGAAATTAGTCTTTTGGGCTCACTCTCACTAAAGCTATTGGGCTTAAGTGAAAAGAGCATATTAAACCCAACAATCTCCCACTTGCTCTTTTGGACACAAACTTGAGTTCATAAACTCAAGACTATGTAGCCCATAAGCCATCATCATTTGATTATACAACCCATCCCTTGTCTCAAGCTAGCCTGGGGATCTACCATCTGTTATTAATCAAGGCTCCCGATAATCAACGAATGATTATCTAATTCGGTGCTACTCCACTAAAAGCCCGAACTTGAACTCCAAGATTAACAACACTTATAACATGAATATGCATCGCCCCTTTGTAGAATGTCTATAATTGATTGACAAGTTTTCTGTAACTCAATCAATTATTTATTCCCTTGACTATGATAGTTTCTCTAATGGATTACATGCACTGGCCAGTGTCTTTAATATCCAAGTACCGAAACATATCAAGGGGACATATCCTACAAATTCCATGTTGTTTATCTCATAAATATCGATAATCAAATAATCTCACTCCCAAAATGCCGAGTTATTGGCCGTCAATAGATCGAACCTCACCCGTTGGTAAATCCAAGAATGAAAACTATTTGATTACCTATTTATAATAAACTCAGGATTAAGAGCAATCACATAACTATAGTTAACTAGAGATTTGATACCTTATGACAAAAAAACAACCTTAATCAAATCTCTCCTTGATCTTTTCAATGTGAATGTTAATTCCACACCAATATTTTACAATGATTCAGACAAAATCATTTCATAAAATATTGCAGCCTGAATAAAGTGCCCAACTTTATTTAACGGTTGTGACTCCATTCATCAATTGTGAGAACCTATGATCATGTCCTCCATGAACGTATCCATATGATCATATACTCCACAATTTGATCCGGACTTTTATGTTTGTAAATAGTGCGCAAAATAAATAAATAAAACCTTATTTATGAAATTCAGAAAATTATTTTATTGTTTCATCATCTTACTCCAAGAGCACAATGAGACCAATAACTCTCACTTGCTTAATGCAAGTCTGGGATCCTCCTAAGACCCAAAGAAGTAACATGCCTCTCGAACACAAGTTCATGCAAACTATTAGTAACTGAGTCTGCAAGATCTACCTCTAATGTTATCTGAGTTTAGCGAAAAACTCATAGCTCGAGGTTGATTTTCTTGAGTCAAAATCTCCTTGGAAATCTGAGTCTGTGTAACCAACGTTTTCAAGACTCCCACTAGAATAGACCAACATATAATCTCTCGTTCTCCGTAGGTACTTGAGTATATGTTTAACAATAATCTAGTATTCCTCTAGGTTCAAAATGGTACTATCTCACTACTCCCACTGCTTGACAGATGTCTGGTTTAACGCCCAACATGATATGCAGGAGTCTACCTTTGCCAAAGCATAAGATATCCTACTCATGCATTCTTCCTTCTTAGAAGTCTTTGGTTACTCCTTAGGAAGATGAATTCCACATCTGAGAATTATAATTCTTCTCTTAGAATTCTCATGTTGAATTTTGGCAAGAGTTTTGTCAATGTAAGTAGCCTGAGGTGATGCCAACAACTTATTCTTCCGGCCTCATAAGAGTTTTATACCAAGAATATAATTGGCTTCCCCAGTACTTCCATACCAAAACACTAACTTAGCCAACTCTTTATGCTTGATATTACCTCCACATTGTTTCCAATAAAGAGCATATCATCTACATAAAGTACCAGAAAAACTACTGTCTTCCGTTGGATCCTTTACATACAAATACACATCATTCATCAAGTTTCTCTCAAGATCAAAATTTTGATAACCTGATCAAAACTGTTGTTCCAAGACCTGGATGCTTGCTTAAGTCTATGAAATAGACTTTCACAACTTGCATACTATGTGTTTCTACCCATTTGCTATAAACCCTTTTGGTTGTTGTATGTAGATATCCTGACATCCAACTCCCAAAATTAAATCTCATAATTGAGACTTATAGCAACCAAGAGAATCTGGATAGACTCAAGCATGGCGTCTGGCAAAAAACGCCTCCAAGCTAGCTTTGAAGGTTTTCACCTTCCTGTCCATCCTCTCTTTGCCTTTTATGTCCACATGCACCTTGTGGGTTTTACCCATCTTGGTGTCTTTACTAGGACCGAACGGAGTTGAAATACAAGTATTTCATCTCATTGTTCATAGCTTGAGCAACACTTGATCAACAACATCTTCTAGTGCATTATTGTAACTAGTAGGATCAATATCACTCAACAAGAGACAACTTGAGAGTTAAGCGGTTCTCTCCCACTACGAATGTACTGCACTAGACCTTGTGTATTTATAGGTAAAACAAAGAGTGGGTCAAATGATAGATCTTCAATTTCTTGAGGATCTGCTTATACTTGATATTGTTCCTTTACATGTGATACTAATATTTCTACTTGTTTCACTTATATATTATCATGTTGAATTTCCAATCATGGTTCTCTTGTTTGTTCACTTAGAGATATATCTATCCCCTCTTGAACAATCAAGGGAACAGTGGATGAAGCTTCTAGAGATTATGAAAATTCTTGATCTGAGATAAATCTCATCAAGAATAACCTAACTTAAGAGCTTATAATTTCTTATCTAGTCCTCCTTTAAGAAAATCATGTGAGTGCTCACTTAGATTATCTTGTCCTTAAGACTAAATAAGAAATCATCCCTAGTTCTCTTAGGGTAGCCAAAAGATATGCACTCTTCCATACAAGATTCCATCTCATTTGACTGTTGTTGTAGGACGTGTGCCGTAGCACCCTAAATCCGAATATGGTTTGATCTGGGCTTGCACCCTTTCCATAATTCTTTAGGTGTCTTTACAACAAACTTTGACGGAACCAAGTTAAGAAGGTACATTTCCTTCTCTTAGGCATCTCCCTTGAACAACATTGACAAAGATGAATAACTGAACATGATCTTCACCAAGTCTAGAAATGTTTGATTTTTTCATACTGCAACTTCATTCAACTAACGCGTTCTTAGAGTTGACAGTTACGAAAACTATCCCCTCTTAAATTAGGTAAAACCTGAACTTACCAGACAGGTAGCCAACACTTTAGTCAGACCAGAGTAAACATTCATATAATGAAGTACTCATCACCTCTTCTGGTCTGAACGCTAATTGGTCCACATACATTAGTATGTACTAGTTCCAGTTGAATAGTTGCGCAAACCTTTTTGGCCCTTGTAGGATTGCTTGGCCATTTTACCTTCCAAAATAAGACTAACATGTAGCTTTTAGTTAAAAGATTCTTGAACTTTCAGTTTCCTCTTTTAACTAAAACATGTTTCCTACTTTGAGGTAATGTGACTCAATCACAAAGGCCAAAGTTATGTTTCATTTGAAACTTTTATTTCTTTGGTGAATGTTTTTGTTCATCACCTTTTCCATTCAACATAACAAATTTTAGAGGGTATAAGACATAGGTAATAAAGACTATTTAAACAATGTACCAGAACAAAACAAGACGAAGATGAACTTCGAAATGTAACTGAGGAATCAATTGCCTTGTCAAACCATGTTTTAACCAAAACAACTAACAAAAATTAAATTCCTCTTGAAATCTGGAACAAATAAACAGTCACCCAAAACCATAGTCTTATAAATAACTTGTCCTACTGCAAATGCAGACACAAGTTCCCATTTTCAAGCTTAAAATATCTATGTCCATTGCTGACAGGTATGCCATGTTTGAACTACTACAAAGAGTAACAAACATAATCAGTGATTCCTGAATCAATAATTCATTCACTGATCAGGCCTTGATATGCCCATGTCAGGTTCTTTTCATCACTTCTGGCCAATTTTTCTTTCAGTATCCCTTTAGTCTGCACTTGAAGAACTTGCCTTGCGGCTTCTTCATAGCAACTGGTTTGACAACTGATAACCAAGTCATTTTGTTCTTGTTATCACCCTTGGGTTTCCTTTTGGATTTAACAAGACTCTTAGCAAAATCTGCACCGACTGCATTCTGTCTAGCAGAGCTGCTAGACGCAGTAAACATGTCATTAAGAGTCTGAAGCATTTCTACTCCACTCTTAATCATGTACACTTGCTTCTGCAAGTATTTGGAAAGACTGACAATAATATAGCAGCGAACTACCATATATGCCCTTTCCTAATATGAGAAATGCATCTTAGTTTCCTTAGACGCATCCTCTGCAGGTTGCTATGGCCTTCGCATTGTCAGGACAAATTTTAGCTTCCATGTTTTAGAACAATATCAAAAATTTACTTTTCACTTATTCATAGTTGATACTAGGGGTGAAACTGGGCCGGGCCGGCCTACAGGGGCCTACGGCTCGGCTACATCAGGCCAGATCTGACCTAGTATATTTTGTATAATAGGTCGGGCTTGAGCCTTAAAAAAGCCTGTTTAATAAAAAGGCTGTAGGCCCACTTTCAAAAGGTCGGGCCTATAA